GGGAGTGGTGTGGCACAGGTAACATGGGCGGGTGGGGGGCATGTGTTCTCCTCCCCCTCCCCCCTCCTGGATTTCTGTGCTCACAAAGGGGTGCATGGCTGCAGCTGGGCCAGACCAGCTCTGATAGGCTTCCAGATTGCTTTAAAATTGTAAATATATCAAAACATTGTGTTCAACTGATAGCTACATACAGAGAGAGAGAGAGACGTTTCATTTTAATCATGGAAAAATGTGGTTTTGGGGGGGTTTTAATTGGAGAATTTGGGATTTTTAAACAGAGAAAGCCAGGATCCCTGGTTATCTCCTGCTTAGAAAATGTGACTGATTTGAAAAAAAAAAAAAAAAAAAATCCAACTAAATGCTACAGCTAAGAAAAGAGTGATTTTTTTGCTAAATGACTCCATATGAAATGTCTCCGCTTTTGAGTAAAAATGTTTTCCAGCTGATATCCTTGCAAGCTCACCTGTGTTGTGAAGGTCAAGCTGTGTTCTTTTGTCTTGTTGTACAAGACATGAAAAAGTTTCTGCTGATGAAAATCTGCCCTTGGATACACTTGTGCAAGCTAACTGCCTTGAATAGTTACACATGTATAACGGAGAGTGGAATTTGCAACCACAGTCAGCCCTTCAGCAAATCTGTGTCCTGATGGACAGCTCAGAACAGACCAAGGTTTACTTTGTGGTAGTAGATATAGGGACCTGGTACCAGTAGTAAAACTGGTAGTGTAAAAATAGGGAAGATTATGGAAGGAGAATAAAAATTGATTTGTAAAAACTTAAATGAAAACATCGTAGTTCTTGAGCATGCAGAATTTAAAATGGTTTAATAGTCTTTTAAAAGAACATTTAGTCAAGATCTTCATTCTGAGGTGTTTGGCAGAGAATAAATCTATTTGATATGATCTACCAAGAAACATTCATATTAAAAAAAATATGAATTTTACTATGACTGGCTAACTTTGCCAGAATCAATAGGGAGAAATTAGGTGTGTGGGAGAAATAATCTTTTCTTTAAAAGACATATATTTAATAATTAGTTATGTTAATAGTGAAATATGCCACTATTTACTTTCATGTTTTCTAACAATATCTAAATATGCACAGTTGGTTTGTAGCACTTAGTGTAGAGGCTCCTTTTGGAGATTTCAGTAAACATTTGGATACAACCACATTCTGAAGTATAATTAAACTATAAGATTAGTATTCACCTCAAAGCATTTTAATCGCAAAATAATGTTGACTGAAATGGTTCATCATAAAGATCATACTATACAGTTTGTATGGTATTGATTTGAACAACTTTTCTCCATTTTAAGGTTGTTCTGCACAAAAAATCCAGGTACTTGAACTTGACCTTTCTTTCTGATTGATTTGTTTTCTGAGTAGCTCCCTGTGGAGTGCAGCTAAGCCCTGTGCTTTGTGCTTGAGGACTGGAATGTTTAACGTTCATGAATGAGGGCCTCAGATGAGGAAAGCTTTAAGTAGTCTTAGTTTGGACTACATACTTTAAACTCCTGTTTTGTAGCTGTTTTTCCTGTTCAGGTAACAAAAGCCATAACTAATACTAATAGAATTATACTGTCTGTTTAAGGTGTTTTCCTTTTTTTCCCCATGTAATCTTTCTGCATTACTGTTTCAGAAGCATCCAGACCAAATCGTGGCCTGAAATTCTATTTCAAATATTTTCAGGTCGAGAGAATAAATTGCAACCATGCTGCTTCCAGATAGAACCTACTATTATGGCAGTCACTAATTCCAAACCCTCATAACAACCTGATTACAAGAAATCTGCATGCCCTACATTTTTGTGGTATTACAGCTAGAGCTGCATACATGTTGTTACTTCCTGCTTAATATAGATAGTTGAGCTAGATCCCTGTTTTGTTAGACTTTTGGTTTAGTTTTCAGTTGTGCCACAGATACCAAGCCAAAGATTACAGTATAAACAGAGTGGATCTCAACCTCTTTTAGACTCAAGTACTCCTCTGTAACTTCAGTGAATTGAGTGGCATCCTGTTTCAAAAATGAATCTGTTGCCGTTTAACCACCTTGCAGAGGGGCCAGCATTGAGGGTGGAGGAATGGCCAGGCAGGGACAAGCCTGAGCCTATGCTTCTCACCTCACTTAGCTCCTCACACCAATGACACACTTCAAAGGATCTCACTGCACCCTGGTTGGGAACCACTAGTATAACTTAACGTCTCTGCACCTCTGTTCTTCCAAAGGGTGATTATATTCCAGTTTAGTCTGTTGAGAGAGCAAAACAGGTTCTGATCTTTGTGAAGCTTCTAGGTGCTACTAGAATGTTGATAAATAGTAATTTTCCCCAGTTGCTATATTTTGAAGGTCATGTGTTTTACACCTTTTTTCCATCTTTGTATTAGAGCAGGGGTGTCTAAGATGCAGCCTGTGGACCAGATCCAGCCCATGAAGCTCTGTTGTTTAGCCTGTGGGTTTCAGACTGGACCCACATGCAGACACGCTGCATGTGGCATTCCGAGCTGACTTCGTGTGCACTGGAAATGGTGTGCTGGGCCAGAGCTGGTGTATGTTGCACGCAGTACACAGGACTGATCTGTGGCCTTGATTTGGTTGTGGACTGGCCTGCATCCCTTTTCTGAACTCTACTCAACCTAGCCATTGGAATAGCAGACTAGTTTCATGTTTGGTGTTTTTGTTATTCTGCATCAAGATAGTCAGTTTGTGCTCCAAATTTTAATTTAAAAGCAATTTCATAAGAAAGGGATTAGGCCACTTTAGTCCCAAGAGAACTGACCTGGGTTGACCAGAGAAAACCAATGCAACTTTTCCCTGTTTACATTAGGTATAGCATCTCTTTAAAATCAGGTTTATTAAGACATACTAGTTCACTTATTTCAAAATGGCATCATTTTTTTTGGTCAAGGTCTGTGTTTCCTTTGTGTTTTTGTTGTTGGCTTTTTTTTAAATGAGTGATGGATATAAGCTTCATGGTTTTTAAATTGGCTTTTTTTGCAACGTAATGTAAGACTGGTGTCCTTCATTATCAGTAGTGGCAGTATTACAGTATGCATGCTCTAGTCTAGTTGATCTATTCATTGTCTTATTGTATTTATGTATTTCGGTTTTCCATTTCAAATAGCTTTTTAAATTTTCCTGGAGCTCTGTGGAAATTACTTTGACATAACTTTGGGTCTTCGAATGCTAGTCCAGTCCCATTCCACTCTAGATGCATATACGCTCCATGCAGAAAAAAATCAGATATTGAATAGCAGTGCCCATACTCTGCCCTTTGTGCCCTTGTGACTGCTGGGACAAAAGTATAAGTGATGCACCTTATGCTGCCTCTCAGGTTTTTGTTACCAGCTCTGGCTGCAGAAAGGAACACCTACCGTGTTCCCTCTAACACAGCACATCTCTGTAGTGTTAGAGAAATTGGACACTTTCTTTGGCTAAAATAATCATGTGTGTGTAAAAGCAAAAGATGGACTTGGTCTCTACACCTAAAAGGGAGAGGGTGAGAAGATATACCTCATGACCATAGAAACTGGGTTGCCAGGCTTCAAGATCTTTGTAGCAGCCAGGCCCATAAACAGTGAACATCCCTGCTGTCCTGTTTTCTCTGAGAGGTACATAAGAGTTGTCAGTTGTTTTTTAGAACAGGAAGATGGGATTACATTTAAAAAGTTTATTCTGTTCAGTCTCTGCTCTTCCTCTTCTTTTGCCCAGGTTCTTTGTAGCTCTTCTGTGCATTGTGTTGGACTATAATAGTTGAGGTTTTCCACCCTCTTGGGAGTACTCTTCATGTTGTTCTTTGTGTCAGGCTTGCCAGTTTGGTAACATGTTAATTTTTTTTTAATCCCCATGAGCAGTTTTAAAATTATATTGGAGGGCAGCACTTGTTTCTATATAATCAGAATAGCAAGCTTGTATGAAATGCCTTCAAATGTAGACTTGCTGTGTTGGACTTCCTAGCTTGTAAATATTAAGTGAATGTATTTAAATGCAGCTACTATTCTGGTGAGGCAGAAGGAGATTCGCACACTAGCAGGTTTCAAAGATCTTAGTAACGCTAAGGTTATACAGTGAGGTCACATGGGTGTTGGAAATGGGAAATCCATCTGACTTTCTCAATTTCTTTTTATAAACTCTTGTTTTTTGTCTTTTCAGGCAGAGGCCGAGGAGAAGGTGGTTTCTACCAAAGAAGTTTTGATGAAGTAGAGGGTGGATTTGGGCGAGGAGGGGGCAGGGAAATGCACAGATCGCAGAGTTGGGAGGAAAGGTAACAGAAAAGCCTAGATTTTAAAATTTTGCTGACATACCTTCTCTAGTTCCATTCCTGAATTATTTCTTTACAAGAACATTTAAAAGTTCTTTGAAAATCCATACTAGTTGAATCTTTTTAGAAATCTTGAAGCATTGTCAGTTATGGTGGAAGTGACTTTTACAATGCGGTGAAAGTTTATATTACTAGTGTTTATATGGCATTTCTGTCTGTTTTAGCCATTTGTGCCTTTTCAGTATTTAGGTCTAGATTTCCAAGTGTATTTGGGTGCCTTAGGATGCAAATCTGAGTTCTTTGAAAAATGCTTAAAGATCTAAGTACCCCTAAGCTCTAGTGAGAGAACTTGAGAGTTGCATTTAATATAAATGGAATGCTTCAAAAGCTGTATTTGAAATTTATATTCTGCCTTTCCAGGGGAGACAGGCGGTTTGAAAAACCAGGGCGAAAAGATTCAGGTAAGGTTATCATGAGTGTGTGTGGTGGGGGGACAGGAGTGGGGAGAAGGATTTTTTCCTACAGTGATGAAACAAAGGAAAGCAGTTCACGTTAGTGATTTCTCAATTCAAAATGTATATAGACAGGTTTTTAAACCAAGTTCCGCTATCACATGCTCTGTTCATTCACTGACTTGTTAAAGTTTGTTTTTGTTTTTTTGTAGAATAACTTTATTTTGAAGTCTTAAAATTTCCTGGTACATGCTCAATTCAGTCTTTATAATTCCTTTTTAGTTCTTCTGAAGCTTTTTTTCAAAGCTGCCACAAAAAAAACTTATGTTTCAGCTTCAGCTGGAACACTTGTCACTTGCCTCTGGAGCCAGCCGCTGTTGTGAACAGCACTTTGGCGTTTCCAGTATGATTTTGGAGGCATGTGTAAAATACTGTTAATTGTCCAGTATATCTCACTGATTTTTGTTTCCTGTGGCCTTACAGATGTCCACAATGTTCTTGTTCTCTGTCCACAGGACATACCAGTTAGTGCAGGCAATAGGGCATTCTTAGGAATTTTTGGCTGGAAAGCCTTTTTTTTCCACTGGCAATTAGGATCATTGCCTGACCAGCTTTATGAGGCAAAGAAAGGAGCCATTTTTTGTTAGTCTTCATTGGAGCAGTCCTAAAGGAAAGCTCTTTTTGGTGACTTCCTATAGGAGGCTTAAAGTCAGGAAAGATTTTGTTGCTTTGGGGTGGTTTTCAAAGACAAGGAAGAGGAATAGGGATCCATCCATACTAAAACACAGTGGAGAACTTCAGCAGTCCTTTGTGGTTTTGAATAGCTCTCCCTTTTATAGGTGATAGGTACCAAGTCCCCAATATTCTAATGATGCCCAGTAACCTTGGTGATGGATGCTTTAAAAAATGTCACATAATTTCCCTCTGGCTTTCAAAATCCTCTGAATGCCCTATTTAACTGAGAGTTGTTAGCATTGTGTTTTCTTAAGGTTATTTTAATTTTTTTAGCTCCTATGATTTTGGCTCCAAAGTTAATAAAAGGAAGACATGTGGTTTTTACTCTTCCTGTTTTTCCATTTTTCTGTAGCAAACATGGCTTCTAGAAATGACTCATTGAACTCGTTTGTCTACTTCTAGCTTGACACTTTCTTTTACTAAAACTTGTTTTCTCTATTGTCTTCATACTTTAAAATCCTTCTGAAAAAACATAGTCTCTTTTGACTCTGTCTGCTCTGGTTTGTGGTGGTTACAACTTGTTTGTTTTTTTAATATTCTGGATTGTGTACCTAATAGTGGCCCTTGCACAATACGGCCACATGCATACGTGGTGTGAATGTTTGGTTCCCCAGGGACAGCTAGTGGCGGCATGCCTTGTGCCACTGCTGGTCTTCCCCAGGGAACACCCATGCCACATGCCCTCTAGCATGCAGCAGGTTACCCCGGGCACGGTAGGGGACACCGGAGCCAGCACTGGGCTGCCCCAGCCGCCTTACTTGGGATTCAGGGGACCTACCAGAGTTGCAGCAGTGGCAATACTGCCATGCAGAGCCTGGCCGGCAGCTGCAGCACAGCTCTGGGCAGCCCAGCTCCACTTCTGAGTGGTGCATGTGGCACTCCACTTTTTTTGTCTACGGGTTTTTTGACCCCTGGATATCCAGGGGTCATAAAAACCCTCCGTGCTGCTCCCTTGCTGCACGGAGAACAACTTAACGTGTGGTATGCTCAGCTCGCAGCCACACTCGTCTGGACGCAGTCTATTTGCTCAGCTCCTTGCATGGACATTTGCAGATGGGTGGTAAAAGATGTTGTTACCTTTTAGAACCCCCCCCTTACTAATCCCTATAAGGATACTACAGGAATGGAGAACCTTGTAAAAGGTAAACATAGAGATGGAACAAACTAGATTTAGTAGTGGCTACAAAAATGAATCTACTCAATGCCATTAAATTTATTTAGCACCTTTTAATCCTGAAATATGTGAAAACACAATTTTACCAATCTGTATAAGGAATTCATTTTGTTCACAAGGGAAATTGCAGCAATGGCTTTAGCAGTTCATAGCAGTGCAACATGTAATTTAAGGATAAGAAATGCGTCTCTTCTAATTAAAATGGCAGGAGCAGTTTAAGTATGCAGGTTGTAATTACCCTAGCTGAAATATTGCCATGATGCCAGGGAGTCTGCTCCAACTTCTGCAAAACATGTTTTGGTATCTTTAACCACAGGTGGGCAAGACCTTGGCTTTATCTCGTCTGAAAGATGGTGCCCTTCTAATGCCTTGCTGAGTCTTTGATTTGGTGTAGAGGGAGGAATGGTAACTGCCAAATCATTAACATCATTTTATGCAGCAAGCCTCCTACTCTGTGAGATTTCACACACTAAACAAGATCAGACTGGGAAGGCAACAGTTGCAGCTTAAGGTGATACAGATAAATGCCAAATTTAAGTTTTCTAAACTTTTTAATAAAAAAATCTCAGAGATTTAACTATGTTCATGTAGATTTGGCTATTGATCCTTTGAGGATTTTACCATGTAGAAAGGGGGATTGTGATATTCTTCCTTTTATCTCCAGACTGAAGGGGGCTGGATATCAGAACAATAATGCAGTGAGGGCCAGCCTTTTTGGCAAGTCTGCCACAGTAGCCCCTGCACCTGCCCCAAATGCTACTGTGATCCATTTCTCCTGTGTGATCCACTCCTCTGCATTCTGCTTCATGCCCCATCTGCTCCACACACAAGCTGTTTGTGCCACATCTGGCGCACATGCTGTAGATCTATTTTGATTTCATGTTTGCAAAAACTATTATTAAGTCATAGTTCTTCCCTAAACTGCATAAAGTGACTTGCCAGATGAAGAGGGTCCTAATTCAGATTTCAAATTGGCATGTTAAGTAACAAAAAATGAATATAAGTAACACCACTGTGGTCTTAGTAGAGATGTCAAAGACCGAACTAGCATGAAGAGCAAACTTTTCACCCCAAAAAGGAAGTGCTTTCTCTTCTTCTATGTTGAGGCATGTTGGCAGATGTATGTGTTTCCTTGTTCCCGTTATCCATATTAAAACTGTTGGTAAAGAGTGATATACTTTAACAGTATCATTTCATTTCTCATTAGCAATTTCTTTCCCTTATAACCCAACCATTATGCATTCTTCAGTAAGGCTTTCAAGTGGCTTCAGACAACATATTCACTTTTGTATCATCAGCTGTTTGTATCCCTTAATATTGTGGTTGTGCAGAGGACCATAGCTAAGTAGAAATGTAAACAGCATGGAGTAACTATAATTTGGGGGAAATTTAGAAATTATAGCAACCCATTGAAAATGTTTTAGTATATTTTTTTAATCCTGAAATTAAAAAATGGCAAAAACATAGAAATTACACATAAAGAGAATTAATTTTAAATAGTTCTATAATTGATATATTAATAATTTCTTCAAAGACAAATGAACACTTGGACACATTTATTTTGAAATGATACCCAAAATGTTTTACTAGTTTTCCAGATGACTGAGAATGATTCACAAACTGATCAGCACCCTTCATTCTTGATTTTGATGTTCTTGGCCATAGTGCATGAGGGGTATCAGGAGTTTTTATGGAAATTGCCATAGGTCCTAAGGGTTTCAGCAACAAAAGTCCAAAGTTGCTTCATAGAAGTTAAGGCCATTTGCTACAGAAGTGAACAAGTCACATATTTGATGATACCAACTAGAATTGCACAAAAGGCAGAAGCCACTGCTGTTCCTTCAGGGCATCCAAACTTAAATCCTTCAGTTGCCATGTGGGTGTAGCACTAAACAGATGCATTTTCGACAAATATTTTGACTAACAGCACATTCAGGAAGTCTGGTGTGAGTGTAAATTTATACCAATCAATCATATAAGAAAAACCTTATTGAAAATAATAACTTGAGATATAGCTTGCATTCTTACCTACTCTACCTGCCTCTCTTTTTCCTGCTCACTTAGAAAATGTGTTCAAAGCCAGTTCATCACTGCTTGGCTCCCACATAGACTGAAGTGTCAGTAAAGCTAGGGGTATAAGTTGGACCTCTTGGAACTGAGACATGGACCAGTATTATGTTTCTAGCAATGGAGTACACCAATTTTTTTCAGTAAGACCTAACATCTTCACAATGCACTAGTGATAGAGATAGTTTTCCTGGCCCTAGCTGACAATAATTTTTATATCCTGTAGTTTCAGGAGGGATAGCTATTGTAGTTACATGAATAAAAAAATGTATCTGTAGCTAAAGTAATTACAGATACAATTTTTATTCAGTTATATAAATCATTTTTATTCTTACGGTTTTCTTCTTTAACAGTGTGCAGTTGTAAATTTCACATGCTTAATTGTACACAGTGGCATACATTTCTTTTCTCCTTTTAAACTTGCTTCCTTAAGTTTGTGTCCTTTACTCCAAGAATATAATTAATCCAATGTTTTCAAATCAGGACAGTCCTAAAAGGCCAAAGGCTTAAATATGTCCTGTTAGAACTATTCTGACTCTAGTAATGTCTGTATAACCTTTTTATAACCACATCTCTGAAAGGCAAAATGCTATTGCTGTCTGTAATGTATGCAGAGCTATATTACTGCACTCTCAAACTGCTGAATAATCCATTTGCCTGAAACATTATGTGGCCTAGAATGTTGCATAGCTGCTTCACATAGGGCGGCCACCCCCATATATCTGACTTAATTCTTCCACATTAATGAAGTATTTTACAGTAATTTCTTGCTCTTGTGCCGCTTTAAGGTTTTCCTTCTGTATTGGAGGTTGTTGGGGTAGGCCACAGAAATAGAAAAAAGTACAACAAAAAATAAAACTACATTGTACACCTTCTGGGTTGGCTAGCTGTGGCATAAGAGGGTGGGAATGAACTCTAATATATATGAAGGGCCAACAATAGAAAGTAAAGACACCGGCAATATAATGTATACTTTTCCTAGATGGTTTGTTGCTATACAGGTTCTATAGTGGGTTAAAATATGATTACATTAGGAGTAAAAAGATTAAATACTCAAAAAAGACAGAATTTTTAAATTACTCATTCTCTAGATAAGACCAGAGAATTTAAGTCTTATAATGTAGGATTGCATAGACCTCCATTCCACTTGTGACCTAACACATTTTTGTAGCAATTACAGTAGTTGTTTCCACAAAAAAGTGATACTGAAAGATACATTTAGCTGTCTCTTTCATAGAAATTAGCTTCTGGAAATAAAATGAAGCAAGGCTCATCTGACAGAATAGCTCCTCCAACACATTTTCTTTGACTACAGATTTGACAACCCCCATGTTTTTTGGCTCAGGGAAAAAAATCTTCCCTAAATAGTAATGTGTTCATTTTATATCTTCAGGCCATTTATCTTGTTGTTGATCTCGTATAATAAAACTTTTCAACTCGTTTATAAATACTTCTTTTTTCCTGAGCTGTTCAGGAGCTAAGGACGGGACCATTTGTATATGGGAGATCAACAAATGAGATGCTTCTTCTCTTATGCCAGTTTGAATGGCAGCTTTTATTTTGATGGTATTCCATTGACTCTTTAGGTTTCAAAACAAAATAGCCATTTTAAAGCTGATTTCTGTGATTGCAGAGTTGTAAATATGCAGAACGCAGTCAGCTTAACTGATGGTCCTTTTAATCGCATTAGAATTCTTTTTGCATGTTGGAGAATAATTCCTTGTTTAAGGTATGCTTATGAGGCACGCACTCCTGGCAAAAAGTCACATGCATAAAGCATTTTGGTCCCAATTTTTTATTTTTAAAATTGATTCGGCTATCTGATTCTGTAGATATGATGCTATCTATATGCTGTGTGTACGCACATAAATATCTATATTAAAAAGGATAAACTCTGCATAAATGCCATTTTTCCTCTGTTGATGGACATAATGCAGCCTTATGGTACCAGAGCTACTTGGTGTGATGTGCAAAGCTGAGACCACATGAGGCAATATGGTCCTTGCCAAGAAACATGAAAATACACGAAGTGATGTATAATATATTTTCTACTGCTAAAATAATTTATTAAATGTTTCCAAGTATGAAAATATCCCTACTGCATCATGCTTTTTCATATACTCCAGGATTTTTGACACTCTCTGTCTTCACAAGCCTGCCTAGCAATAATAAGCCCTTTCTTAGCCAATAAAATGCAGTCAGTTCTTACATTTTCACACAATAAATGAGCGTAGCATGAATGCATTTCACTGCCACAGTAAAAACTGGCAATGAGTTTTTAATAGGTTGTTCAGCCATTTGAAAGCTTATATAACACTGTACGCAGAGGGTTAGCATTAAAAGGGATATACGAATCTTGGAACTATTTCACTGCTGATCCCAGAGCTAGTGTGTTTTAACTGAATAACCTCAGTAGGATTTTCAGTGCAGTCTTGTCTTGTATTGTTGCTGTCTGCTTTGCTGCATACCAGTTAATTAGGTTTTTGGTCAGCTGTGAGAGTCTGAAAGTCTCTTGTTTCAGGGTCAGTGCAGTTTTACTCATAGTCTAGTGAATTCAGCAGGTAGCACTTCCATTTTCCCAGAACGTGTACTTGGTCCCTGACTTTCTGTTCTGTGCAATTAATCCAGCCTCTTCTCAGTTTACATGGGCACATTATGCTCAACTCTGCACACCATGCTGGAGTCAAAACAGATGGAGAAAAAGGAAAGAGAAGAGCACAAGAGAAAATGGCAGGATGGAATTAAAGGAAGGAAGGCTGGAAATGGAACCTGGAAGTTTAATGGAATTAAAAAAAAATGTTTTGCCAAGTCCATAGTCTATTCTGTTAGACCAGTCTCACAGATCTGGAAGCTCTCAGTAAGCTGTCCGTTGATGCGGATTTCCTGGTCAGTCCTTTTTGGGTTCTTAGAGTCTGCTGCAGGTGGGAACTCTGGAATAGTCTTGTCAAAATTTTCCATCTTGATCTGATATTCCCCTTTGGTTCCTCGTGCTAGCATGGAGGCAAAGCAGTGGTGCATGATGATCTCTGACGGGAGGTAGGATGTCCTCCTCTGACATGTTTCTCCTGTACCTTCCTGCATGGCTGAGAGGAAGATCACTAGCTCAAAATGGCGAGGAGCTTCCCGCTGGAGGAGACCAGCTAGAGGACTCGATGGAGTGATGGAATGATAGTAGGTCAGTGGAAAGGTGAAGAATGGACATTCTTCAGATGTGATACTGTCCAGATGGAAATCGACACTGGTTTGGTGCAGCTGACCATTATCTGTTTCTTGGTAAACAATTGCAGAGACCCGAACGCTGGTGAGTGGACTGGGACGAGTATTAGCCACCTGGAACATAAGGTATGGCTTGCCTTCTGTGTGCGCCACTACTGCGGAATGAGTAAAACGGATGGAGAATGCTCGATTCTTTGGACGGGCGATCTTTGCCACAAAAGCACCTATGTAGTGGGAAAGAACGGATTAAATATGAATGCGATGGACACATTAGTTCTCTTTATCCCCATGCTGGATCAAATGCCCCATGAGAAAAGGAAGATACTTGATTAGATTGACATAATTTCACTAAAGATAATCTGTTCTAGTCTAAACATAGCACACCTCTCAGCATATAAATAGTCACTAGCATCATTTTCACTTAATCAAAATAAACTCGTTGCTGATGACAGATGCCACAGATTTCTTCAGAAGAGCATTTCCCCCACAGTGTATTAACTCATTTAAAATAATAATATTTGTAAAATGGGGCAACATTTGCAGGAGAGATTTCCTGTGGCTGCTGGTGACCTACTCTTGAACAGGCCAGAGTGTTTTACTTTGTGTGCTGTTAAATTTCATAAAATTGCTGTTAACTATGCTGTAAGCTAACTTCTTACAAAATGAAATGTGTTGCTTAAAAAGTCTAGTACAATTATTCCCTGATGGAGTATTTTAAAACTTTGTATCAGTTGAAATCTCTATCTAGTTTTAAACAGATTAGGGAACATGCATAGGAATCTATAAAAACAAATTGATTTAAACTTCGTAACTTAATGAAAGAAGAAAAGAGATTGTTAAGGAAAAAAATGACACAAAAATAAATTGGAGAGGGTGAGGAGAGTTGCCACAAATATAAGTTGTGAAGAAGAGCATTTTTTTTTCTGGTACAAACCTTAACATGCTTTTAGTTATCTCTTTTCATAGGTCTCTGATTTGCTTTAAAAGACTTACATAATACATTTTAATGTCTGTAGGCTGTTAAATACAAAATTTCAGTGTTTATTAACTGGCCCTTGTCCTTTTTCTTAAGCAGCTGTAACCTCAGTATAGCAAAGCATTTTACAAAATCTATTTTACACATGGCTTATGGAACCTGCCCCATGTAAAATGTTTAAATGTAGAATATTACCTGTGATGAAGGCCTCTAACATGAGCCCCAGGACCATCTGTATGGCAAGTAGGGCAATAGCACTAGGACAGTCCCCACTTGGGAACATGGTGCCATAGCCAATAGTGAGTTGTGTTTCCAGTGAGAAAGAGAAGGCAGCTGTAAAGCTGGTGATGTACTTAACGCAAATGGTGTGGTTGTCAGGTGGGGCATCATGATCCAGTTCCAGGTCCCCATTCATCTCCGCCAGTAGGTACCAAAGTACTGCAAAGACTAACCAGTGGAGGACAAAAGAAGCTGAAAAAACCAGCATCATCCATCGCCAGCGCATGTCCATTAGTATTCCCCAGGCATCTCTCAAGTAAGCCAGACCTTTTCCTTGAGCTCCATCCATATGGAATGTACTGTGTCCATCTTTGGTGACCATCCTTGTGTATCGGTTTGCTAGGAGGGGGGCACTAGATTTGGTGGTGTTGTTGTCTATCGTATCAGTTCTCATCTTCTGAAAACAGAAAGAGAATCTCTTACACACCTGCATATTTGCATTTCAGCTAATATTCACAGATTCTGACAGGCCAGCAGGGGATCACATACCGCAGCCAACAAAGAATGATGGCTTAAACATTGCAGTTCAGAGAAGATTAATTTAAGAGCTTGGAAAGGAATTTACCACTGCTTTTGTAGTAATGATTAACTAAAATAAGATTAAGTTAAATTAGACTACTTTTAAAATTTTTCCTGCCTAGTCATTTAAACAGAGCTTTCATATTTTAACTCCCTAAATTTGTTTTGATTAAATGCTTTAACACGTGTACTCATGTAGATGGTAGGCAGCTGGAGCACTGTAATTTTTGTGGAAAATGGGCTTTAATTTTGTGTTGTGTTAGCACCTAGTTATTGCAGTTCTGCTTTTCATCAAAATGGCAATGTAAAGAATAGGAAGTTTCTCTTGCTAAGTTATTAACTATAGCTCTTTCCTTTTATCTAATTTTTTTTGTTGAGGAAGGCTATCAGCCATTTCAATCTTGTAATTTAATTTCCTTACAGGTGTTTTTGACTTAGTTCTGACTCAAAAAAAAAAAAAAAAAGCCTGTAACTATACCAACCATATTCACTTATTGACTGTAATTATGGTGATTGAAGAAAGGCCTCTTTGCTGAATATGCTTAAGTGACTTCTAATGTGAAGGGGGGGAGGTAATATGGAAAATAAGCTTATATATAAATTACTGCTCCTTGGCTTAAATACATTTCAGTCACTTATGATGTGGGGAAAAATCTCCAATCCTCCCTGCAACAGTAGAAAAGATGTGAAGAAATGTGTGGAAGCATGTAGAGGAGGTGGAGTTCCATAGGAAGTAATATTAAAGGCAGGAGACAAGAATGACAGTATTTGGGGTGCTGAACGTAAGGGTCACACGTCTGTTCTAGGCTGCATATCTTTGGCCTTTATGGGCTTCAGTGAGAGTTATAGATGGTCACAGGTGAAAATCAGGCCACTTCTAACTGCAGCCTAATTTTGGGTAGCCAAGTTTGAAAACTTCTGGCCTGGGACTATTTTAGTTTGGGCAGGAAATTTAGCGTTAAGGTACTGAATGTTAAACGTTTGTCTGGAAAATATAGAAATAAATTAGAATCCCCTTAAAACAAGGGGCACAATTAAAAATAATGAAATATAAAGCCAATAAGTAAATACAATGTATAATTAACCTATAATAGACACTGCTCTTGGCAAGGGATATGGCAAACAGGATTATACTAGTTACACTCTACACCAGTTATTCTCAACCAGGGGGTTGCCTCACTCTAAAGTGCTCTTTCAGGGGTGGCACGATAATGTTTGCCTGTTAATCCTGCTTGCCACACAGTTTTAGCACTAAGTGTGCAAACGTGTTTCATAAGATGAACACAGAGATTTCAAATAGGAATCCATAGTGATCTGTTGTGGTCTTCTTGAGTGCATTTCTTCATTTGCAGAGAACTGTTGTTCCATAGTCAAAAAAACCAAGTGAAAACTAAAAGCAGGCATCTTTTCCAAGGGGTGCCTTGAGTTTAAAAAGGTTAAGAACCACAGCTCTACACTGATGCAGCAGGGCATAAGGATATATATGAAATTAGGAAGATTCATGCCTTTCTCTGAAGCTATTGCTAGTGGATATGCATCACAGTAGAAAGATCACTTGTTTTATTTCAACAATTTTTATGCTTGCATTGGTAGCTACCAGCTGTAGGACTCTCAGCACCTGGTAGTTGATCTGTTAATCATCAACTGTAGACTACTCAAACAAAGGTGAAAATGGCTTTCATCTCCTATTTGGTCTATAGCTCATTGATCCTGTAATTAGTATAAGTCCTGTAATGTGACTCACTGACTTACCACTTGACAGTTTACTCATGATATTATATTTTCATAAAGTTAGGCCAAGGTGTGTCTAATGTAGATTTTGCATATCTAGGCAAGTTTGAGGAACAAATTGTGTGCATTCCTTTCTCAGACCATACAGTTGTGCTCTGCTTTTACTTGTATGTATGGAAGTTACTAGAGGAATAATGGATAACTTGAATTAGTCTTGAGACTTTTTTTCCTCCTCCTTATTCCATGCCATCACACACATTTGCTCAGCCCTTGTCATGAATAAGTCAGAACAGCTCAATAGAAAAGGACAGGTTATCATCTGTTTTTCTACAATACAAACACAAACTTTCTTAAATAGCGCACCTCCATGCACAGAGCATTAATTTTTGCTGACCTAGTCTGCCATTGATAATACTGACTACACTCTACTCTAATAACATTAATCCTGGTTTCCAGGAACCACTCTAAACCGAATCAGGTAGTTAACTCAAGTTCAGGGTTGGGCTGCTCTGCTATAAACTATAAGCATACAATTGCTAATAGTTAGGGTATTGTAAGGTAAACAGAGTGAAATGTTATGTGCTTTATGTACCAGGTATTCAAAACTACAGACTCTTAATGTTCACAGTTGCCTTATTGAATGCTTTGAAAGGGTATTTGAGAATGTAGCCAGTTGAATATAGCCAGTTGGTAGACGATGGGTCAATGCACAAAGCAGACTGTAAACAGTGCCTCATTTTATCATCTTACACTAAGCTGCAATCATGAGAAACATGTGCTCGCTTTTTTAGAGGGTGGGCAGAGAATATTTACAGAACTAAATGCCTTTGGGTAAAACACATGAGCGATCAGAAGTATTTTGTGTGTTTTGTTGTGATATCCAGAGAGCAGTTCTTTTTATTGCTGTATGTCTCCTGAATAGCTTGGGCTGCAGAACTGCAAAGTAAAGCCATGCCTTATAAAAAAATCTAGGTCTGGTAACAGTCTAGGCCTCAATGAATTGTATGCACCTTTTCTTAAATTATAAAAACATGCTTAAAAAGTGGAATATTTTTAAGATGAATTTCCATAGGTCTTCATCCTTTCTCTGTTAAAATGACTACTCTGAGGTATGGCATCCTCTCACTGCCATATGCAGTGCAGGCAAGCTTCTTTGGTTGAAGTTAGTGATCTAACTGAATGATTAACTGCTTAATATTGATGTAGACATTTAAAACAACCTTTGTCTCTAGTTCTCTTCACTTTGCATTGTTTCAAATGGTTTTATTGGGCAAATTCCATTACTGTATGAGTTAGAATGTACTTCAAAATGAAGGATGAGTATTTCCGTTCCCTGTTAACTCCAGCAGTGCTTTTCAAAGCAGTCTCCTATCAGTGTCTCTTGAAGCTTCAACAGTGAGCTCTTCCTGGTTAAGATTAATAGATTACTGCAATAGACCCATTTGGGCTAGAGCCATGGTTCTTTCTGTTTTACAGTGCAAAGTAGCCAATAAGTAATTCAGTGGTAATGATAATTAATATCTAGGCTCCATACCAAACTTTATTTTTCAAATGCCCTGGCTTGTGTGAGCCTACTGATGGTTTTACTTTAAGTTAAATTAAACCCCAGGTCTTAACTTCTTTGTGTGGGTAAATGGGGGGAGAGGGAAACTGTTGATAGGGTCCAGCAATAGTGCAGTTGCTCGAAGCTGAGAAGAAAAGGAAGAGTTGCTAAGGGGGAACTGCTAAAGTTTTTTAATTCCATATCTAGGAAGTGAGAGTATCTTTTTTGACTACTTTGAAAAGCAGATTCAGTTTTTGAAGTCATTAAAATATCTTTCTGGTCTCTCTACTTTTCTCACCCCTTCCCTTGTCTCATTTTCCTCCATTTTAGTCAAGTCATCTAGCTACTTTCTACTTTCCCCATTTATAGATTCATAATTTATAAGGCCAGAAGGGACTATTATATTTATCTGTTTTGATTTGTGTAACATAAGATACAGGATTTACCTGAAGTAATTCCTGTTTGAATTGGAGCATATCAGAAAACCATCTAATCTTGATTTTAAAATTTCCAGTCATGGGTAACTTCCTACAACCATTGGTAATTTTTTCAATTGTTAACTACCCACACTGTTTTAAAAAAAAAAAAAAGTGCAATTTATTTCTTGTCTAAATTTAGTTAACTTCAGCATTCAGCTGTTGGTCTTGGTTTCACATGTCTGCTATTGCTTTTCCAAGCAGTGCAAACACTTGACTCCAGTTGTTTTGAGTAATGAATAAGAAGAGTGGTTACCATCAGACACTTTCAGTCTTTTACATCTCACTTCACTCCTTTGTATATCCCCAGTGTTTCCAGTCCTGTCTGTTTTGTTGCCTTTCATTAAAGACTTAAAGTGTGCGTAATATTTCTCTTCTCATTGTTTCTTTACCTTACTTTCTGTTTCACCATAGCTGTTCTCCCTCAGCTTGAATTTCCCTTGTATATTAGTGCTGCTGAAGCAAGTCATAGCCAGACTTTATTTTTCCAAGCATCAGGCTGGTTCATGATTTCTGTTCCTTCTCTCTAGCAGAGTGAAGTGGTTTGGTCTAATTTCTTCGTGCCTCTGGCTCCTTGATAACCTCATGATGAAGCCCTGCTTTGTAGATCTAGAAGGCTTTTTCAGTTGAAATATACTCCACATTGCTCCTGAGAGCAGGAGCTTAATTATTATGACATAGAATAAGCCCCATACTGCTGTGAGTTGGTTCAGTTAAAAGTTTTGTGTTGACTTCCTAACTGAAGGGCAGTACTGCAGTGGCACCTTCAGCCTCATCTTAGCTAAGTATTTTGACAAAGCTCTTTCACTATTAGTATCTCTGAAAGTTGTTAATTTGGGGTAAAGTTCCAGGGAAACATTTCCAGAGTGTTTACCTTACCTGCCCAGGTTCCACTACCTCATTTACAAACTCTCTTAATTGATCTTGGAAGAGACCTGTGGTAGATGTAGTTGGCTTAGTTTAATTGTTCACAGTTTAAAGTGGTGGAAAGAGAAACACTCTGTTAAAGGGGAGTTGCAAGGATTAACTGTACAGAAGCTTACTCTGATTATTCTAGCTCGTCTGGATTTAGTAAAGAAGTTTCCTTTTAGTACAGTCCTGCTGAAACTGGCATTTTACCACTGTGAGGAAGTTAATTCCACTTTTGCGTTACTGGAGTACAGAATAGTCCTCTTGGGGTTTCAGAGTTAACTGGCATTGCTTAGATGTAACCAACTACAGTTTGGTTTCATCATCGTCTAAAACCTGTATGGCGGAATGAACCCTAATTCTCCAACAAGGTTAC